CCCTGACCGCTTCCCTGGCCCTGGCCGCTTGCCTGACCGCTTTCCTGGCCGCTTGCCTCACCTTGGCCTGGACCGCTTCCCTGACCGTGGCCGCTTCCCTGACCGTGGCTGCTTCCCTGACCGTGGCCTTGGCCGCTTCCCTGGCCGCTTCCCTGACCTAGACCGCTTCCCTGGCCGCTTCCCTGACCTTGACCGCTTCCCTGACCAGTCCCTTGACCGCTTCCCTGGCCATGACCGCTTCCCTGGCCATGACCGCTCCCCTGCCCACTTCCCTGGCCGCTCCCCTGACCCTGGCCGCTTCCCTGGCCATGACCGCTTCCCTGACCATAGCCGCTTCCCTGGCCCTCACCGCTTCCCTGGCCATGACCGCTCCCCTGCCCACTTCCCTGGCCGCTCCCCTGACCCTGGCCGCTTCCCTGGCCATGACCGCTTCCCTGACCATAGCCGCTTCCCTGGCCCTCACCGCTTCCCTGGCCATGACCGCTCCCCTGCCCACTTCCCTGGCCGCTCCCCTGACCGCTTCCCTGACCACTTCCCTGACCACTCCCCTGGCCACGTGGTTCACTGCATGCACGGACACTGGTGGTTGGGCAACATTTCTGTGTGGCAGGACACTGGCCATCATGGAAACAGCTTTCAGCAAACAGTGGAATGTTCGTCGGTTTGGGACATTGACCTGGCTTCACTGCATGGACACAGATAGTCAGCTTTAGTTTGTGCATATACTGTAGACTATATGCCACGTCAACATACAGCACGAAAAGCAAGTTTTACCTACAAAGAGAGTTATATTCCAAGTATTATTCCTGTTTATTTTGTAAAGCCATCCGGTGTTTAAAACTATCTTAAGGGTTGAATTCAAACCTACTTTATACGAGAATAATAAAACGCTATATTTATCAATTTTTTCCCCCATCATCAACAACTGACCAAAACAATATAACACAAATACCTGTATATGGAGCTGTACAGTAACGTCCACATCCATTGCTGCAGCACTTCTCATTGTTGGGACAGTTAGAGTCACTCTTACAGGAACTGGTACACGATCTATTTCCAGATGATCGGGGTGGACACTTTCCTGGCTTTGCTGTTATACAGACACATGACAGAGTCACCGAATGCTGAACATTTCCATTCACTTAAATTAAAAAAAAATATATATTTAATTTACAAAACATTACAGTCTCTCCTTAACTTATTGAATTCAACACGTTGAGTACGTGTGTGTTTTATAGAGAAAACACAGTCAGCGTCAGGTGTCCTGTCGATTTATGCTATCCTGTCAGATTTTGCTACCTCCCATTAAAACAGTGGGTAGTACAATTCGACAACGAAAAATGATACCTGTAAAAATATGATTAACGTCTACACCTACCCTTACAGTAATGCAGATACATTAAATATTGTTGTTCAACATGAGAAGGACGCAATATTGATGTTAATAACCTTTTAAAACCTACTACCTATTCCTAATCCTACATTGAAAGACTGAGTAAATAATTTCTGCATTTCTTCAGGCTGTGTAATGAAGTCAACAGATCTTC